CTGTGGACCCAGCTCCCACTTTGGCTTCAGGAGACCGATACCCTCTCTACTTTTAAGATCACAACAGGGATCAACAGGGATCACTGACTGTTTTAGGAGCTTTTTGAGATCAAATAGAAGAAAATACATAGCATTAAACATGTTAACAACATAAAAGCCATATTAAACGCAGACTACTTTAGACCCGGAAGTAGGATTCGTCGCGTCATCACTGAACAACCGGATAGAAACTTGACATTTTGATAAAGTTCATAGTTAGTGCTGGATCAGGTGGCCCCAAACCATACCTTAGTTACTACTAAGTAAATATTTAATGCTTAACTATTATTTTTTTCACAACATTTCAAAATTCCTCATTCAGGAAAATCAGAAATAATATGAGTTTTAGACTGTCTTCCAGTCAGTTGCTGGAGCACAAATTAAAGTGTTAAATAAAATTAAACACACTTCACAAATTACGTTGCAGAAAATAAACTTCCTCTGCAAGGTTACATTTTAGGTTAATAATTCCAGTCTAGTCGGACACCCACAGATAAGTAAAAAATAAGACCCCACAGACCTCTTTTCTGGTTTGTCATGAACTCCAGCAGCAGACCTCTGAGTCGCTCGATCTCCTGCTGGGAGCTGCTCGCTTCTTCCTCATATTTTTCTATCGTCCTCTCAAACACCTGAAATATTTCCTCCGCGGCGGCTGTCAGGCGCTCGGTCACGAAGGCCCTGAGAAGAAGCGGTGAAGACATTTTAGAATACGTGTTACTCTAGAAGCACGGGAAGAGGTTTAAAAGACAGCGGGGGTTGCGCTAGCTAGAAGCTACGGAAGCAGAAGTAAACAAAGTACCGAGAGGAAGAGCGCTGACAGCACCCACAAATCAGACAGGTGCTGCCCTCTGGTGGACACCAGCGAAACTGCTCGGAAACCTTTAACTGGGCATGTTTTATGCAAGGTGATTAGACTTGATGATTTTATAAAAATTATAGTTAACTCAATTAACTACCCTCTGCACCATAAAATAAATATTTAGCTTTCAGTTGCAGGAAGTCTTCATTCTCCTGTTGCTGCTTAACTGCTCACCTCAGCATCCTGTGCTTGGCCTGTCTCCTCCAGCACATTTTAGTGCATCATTTGTATTTGTATTCTGCTATTTTATGTTATTATTATTATTATTATTATTATTATTATTATTATTATTATGTTGTTTTATTTTACTTCACAAATGTGTTTGATTTGTTGTGTATTTTTTACTTTTAAGCTCCTTTATTTACTTTATTTATTATAAACATAGCTCTTTCATAGTGAGTATTTGTTTTTTTCTTTTTAAGCTATTTTGATTGACTATATTGTATTTAACTGTGGAACTTAATTGGCACTAACACAGACATCTCACATTTTTTAATAAATGGAGTATATCTTTATAAAACTAAAAGAATCAAATAAAAATGTAAGCATGTCTTTAATATTATTTTTTGTTATTTTCACATTGAACACAAACCCTCATTCTCATTTACTCAGAAATTGTTGAAAACTCCTGCTAAAACCGGGCAAAGACCCTGTATACCCCTTCATAAAGGCACTCATCTCATGAGTAGGCACTCATCAACAAATACACGTAGATTACTTAATTTGATTGACTACTCATGCAGTAAAAACATCGAAACTACAATATTATCTCTAGATGCAGGAAAGGCGTTTGACAGAGTTAACTGGAAATTTTTATTTGCAACTTTACACAAATTTGGTAATCAGTCTTTATGCAGTTGATGTGTTACTTTTTCTGGGGTATTTGCATTGATAAATTCTTTTGCAAGAGTATCAGATTATTCAATTAACTGGTCAAAATCTTCAGTCCTTCCGATTAATTGCTCCTTCCTAAATTCTTCTTCTACACCACTGCAATCGGGAAATATAAAATATTTAGGTCATAATGTTTCTCCCAAGCTTGCAGATTTAACTAAATTAAACCATATCCCACTTTTAAAGTAAGTTGCTGGATGGAAATGTCTACCCATATCACTCAGGGGAAGGGTTGCCGCTATAAAAATGATGGTCTTACCAAAAATAAATTATTTATTCTCAATGATCCCAACTAAACCACCACAAGATTGGTTCAGATCTCTAGATTTGTATATGTCTAAATTCCTTTGGGAAGATAAAAAACCACCACATATAAGCTTAAAAACACTACAAAAGACCAACAATAAAGGAGGATTCGATCTACCTAACTTTCAGGCTTCAATTTATCTCAGGATGGCTAAAACATACCTTCTTAGACGACCTTGGCTAGATGTAGAACAAGCACTTATAATAATCTAGAGATTTCAGACCTACCATCTATCAGCTCAAACATCCAACGACATGAATGCTTTAAAAGTGTCAACATCAGCTCTTCTCTGACAGCATGGTGGGAGTTTCTAAAATTGATGGCGTCTTCATTAATCCCATGCAAATGTACACCTATCTGGAACAACCCTGACATATTACAAAACAATAATATGATAAACTTGTCAGATTGGAGTGGTAAAGGACTCAAATACTTAGAACATATACTAGAGGAACAGAATTTATTCCATTTGACAGACTAGTTACACAATATGGGATCAACAAGAAAAGATTTTTAGAATATCAACAAATTAAATCCATAGTAAAAAAGAAATTTAAACCCGGTCAAGTTGAACTACAAACACCATCAAGTGTGGTACAATTTCTTACTTATAAAACCCCCAAATTACTTTCCAAAATATACAGATTGCTTTCTGTAACACTTTGTATTCAATTAATTCAATACAAAATATTACATAGCGTACACTATACAGGTCATCGGATGATTTCTGTGGGTGCTCCGTCTCCAGGCTGGGGCTCTGGCTGGACCTTGGGGGCTTGGGTCCTGGTTGGTGTGTCACCGAGGTTGTGTGCGGGTGGGTGCATGGGGGCTCAGCCCTGGTGCGGGGTGCCTCTGGTGCATCAAAGTTGAAAAGCATGAAGCAATAAAATGAAAATGTATAAAATCAAATATTTAGTTAGGGAAATATGCTAAAATATAAATCAAATGCATGTAAGTCAAGTAAATTTCATGTCCCCAGATTCTATTAATTTAGATTTATTGTATCACTTCTTTGTATTTTTGACTACCACATCATCCTATTTGTTGCTGGTATTTGTCAGCAGGTAGGAACTTGAAAGATTTATGCCAGCCTGACTAGAGGACTCGTCCAGTGAGTCTCGATTAATAAATTAATAAATCCATATTGTTGTTTCATTTCATAAACCAAGGTCAGAGTGAAAAACCTTTGTAGCATTAATTTATAACTGACTCCACAGAGTCTGAATCGTGACCTGGGCCCACTGCTCCCACACTGTGCTCTCCTGTCTACCCACTTGACCATCTGTCCCACGCTGAGCTCAAAGGAAACAAAAGGGACATGATGTAAGCTGTACCTGGCACCGCTGATGTCCATCTGCAGCAGGTAAACAGTTAGACTTTGTATGTAACACTTGTCTAAAAATACTAGGCAAATTGCAGACATACTTTTATATTGTTTTATTTTAGGTTTCTTTTCACTGCTGAGCCTTTGTCAAGGAAACAGTTTCAACCAATCCAGTAATGCTCCAGGGATATTGGCCTTGCATGCATTATGATCACCAGCAGAGGGAGCTGAATAATAAGAAATATATCTCATATGCAGTACAACAAGACTGCGCGTAAGTGTGTTTTAACTTAGTTTTAATGAAAAGCTTGCTCCTGTTTCTATTTATTTCACTCCTTGACTAGCAGGACTGTAGTCTGCAAAATATTTGCTTACAGTCAGATTCTGAAAACTTTAAAAGCTCAATACTGCACATGCTTTTATTTGACTTATTCCACTGTGGTTTGAAGCTGCAGCTGCAGAGGTCCTTGTGGGTTTTCAATCCAAACTTCTGTATCTTAATTGCGATTTCAGACTCATGCACAGAGTGTACCGCTAACTCAAACAGCCTTCATGTCTAATATGTAAGTTCATGTATTCGATCACAGATTAAAGACGAGAGATTATCAGCTCAATGACTTGCATTCTCTGGTGAAATGTGATCTGTCATGATTTATTTTATGGCCACTGTGGCATAATGTGGAATAACCTGCAAATAAAGCTGTTATGTTATTACAATTAAACACCAACAATGATAATAATAAGTTTAATAAAGTGCTTCCCATTAAACTCATAATTATTTAGACACGTACTTTATGCACCCAGCGCAAGTATTTCTCCAGCTTTTATTGAGAAAATGAAATGAGTCTTTACCAAAATAGTAATAAGTGTGTTATTAACTGTTAAACTTCCTCATATATTAGCCTCCAGGCAATCAAAACATGCATATATTTATTAAGAGGAAAAATTTTATCTTTTCTAAATCTAAGAATCTACTGGAATTTTTGAAATTACTTAAAGAACATATTTTTTCTTTATTTTCCTTTCTTTCTTTCTTTCTTTCTTTCTTTCTTTCTTTCTTTCTTTCTTTCTTTCTTTCTTTCTTTCTTTCTTTCTTTCTTTCTGTTTAAACTTCCATCAAGCAGACAAACAAATATAGGAATATTAACATTGTGCAAGCTCAGAAAGTTTGCTATAGGAAAGAATAATAAAGTACTAAATTTAACCATCTCCTACTGAAGCGTAGAGCTGCCACCCACCCAGGCAAAAGAAAAATACAAGTGTATCACGTTATAACGTGAAAGGTTTATTGTTCTAACAAGATACTTTTCCTGTTTGTACAATATACCATCATGTTTGTACGATATACTTTTCACGTTTGAACAACATAATATCACGTTATTACAATATACATAATTATCACGTTTGTACAATATTGTACGAACGTGACAGTATATTGTACAAACAGGAAAAGTATCTTGTTAGAATAATAAACTTTTCACGTTATAACGTGATACACTTGTATTTTTCTTTTGTCTGGGTGGCAGCTCTACGCTTCCGTAGAATTTTATTGTGAAAGGAGTGGGAAGAAGAATTGTTCGCACATGCGTAGAATAAGCCAGGTTTCCGGTTCGGCTCAGTTGCTGGTAGTTCCTCCAGTCTAGGTCGGTGAGGAGTGGAGACAGCCAGGGACCGAGCTGAAATGTCGGACAGCGGGAGTCAGGAAGCCCCGAAGACACGGATACCCAGGCCGACGGTTGGCAACAAAGTGACCGTGGTACTCGGCGCTCAGTGGGGCGATGAGGGGAAGGGGAAAGTTGTGGATCTGCTGGCACAGGACGCGGACATGGTGTGCAGATGCCAGGTACGTTAGGTGAGCTCTGTCGTCAGGAGAGAGTCCGCAGGTAACTGCTGCTCGTTAGCTGAAACACCCGCCTCTCTGATGTTCTGCCGCATTCTTTATGAAAACCTCCTGTCAGCTTCCGACTTCCAGCCACTCAGTGGGAGCTGTCACGCCACGGAAATATTGCGCGAATCATGCAAATACAAATCTGCACGAACTCGACAGCAATACATTCAGCTCCTTTTATACAGCACCTCTGTTTCGTGCCGGGCTTCACCCGTACTGTCCCGAACTACCAGTACCCAACATAACAGGTGCGATTTCACCAATTTCACACCTCGTGAAAGTGGTTAGCACCGGAAAAAGCGGGGTCTTCCTCCCCCTTTTTTCTGTCATCCTCACAAGACCGTGTGAATTGAATCCAACAAGCCAGCGACTATTTCCTGGCTGACGAACATCCCAGGCAGGCTGGCTGGCTCTCTGTGTTTTTGCTAAAGTCACCTTGAATTCCTGCTAGCTGCCTAGCTCCCCAAACACCTGTAAAGCTGTGGTGACTTCATGTGCACACGTAAAACAGATACCTTGAGCTGGTTATTTGAAGAGAGAAGGCGCAAAACAGCGGCTATCCTCGGTTTGTGTTTATTCTAGCCGAGCTCTTCATTAATGCTTGTGTCTTGGCGGTATTGGCACAATTAAAGTTATCTTAAGGCATTTTCTTCTTCTTTCTTTTCTTCTTTTAAACCTTAATTGCTGTTGGCCTCAAAATTGACCCGTGTTGACATTTGACAGCGTTTCAAACGTCACCCAAAATACACAAAAATATAAACTTGAAAAATGTGCAGGTACTACAAACTCTAACACACTGATGCTGTTGGAGTCAAACTAGAGACTCTTGAAACTCTGAAGTTGTACACGCCATGTCTCTGTGTATGTTTTTATGGGACAGTGGTGACATGCGATCTATCTGTGCACCTGCTGGTCTCTAAAGTGTCATGGGGGGAATTGCTAAACAGTGCAATAGTAAAACAGCACAGGAGGGGTCGTGTATGGGGGCACAAAAGGAATAGAGGTCATACAGAGGTCAAAGGTTTCCTTGAGAGAGGGTACCTCAGTGCCACGGTGGAAAAGTGGGTAATGGTGTTGCTTCACATAAAGAAGGTTCCTGGTACCAAGCCTGTCTGCGTGCAGTTTGCCTATATGAGTACTCCTTTTCCTTGTACAATCCTACGACACACATTGGTGAATTGATCATAGATGTGAGTTGCAAAAAGTGCTTGAAGTTTACAGTACTGTATGAATGTGTGGTTACAGTGTAACTTGCAATTAAAGGCACTTTGAGTGGTCAGTAAGGTTATTTTTCCTCCAAAAACAAGTGTTGTAAAACCTAAAGAATGCCCTCTTCCTGCTTTCTGAAGCATTAATTAAGGACTACTAATTGATTACTAATAATCAGCATTTGTTGTAGACACTTACTTTACCTCATAATAAGTGACGCACTTCAATTCTTTTTATATGAGGACTTTATATATACTCCACAATGCTTTTGTATGTTTTATACAAAAGCATTTTAGAGCCATGTTTATACAAATTCAAAAGTAGATGGAGAGACTGGCATAAGGACTGTTTTCAATACTTGGATAAAAATCCTTTGCGGTCAATGACTGCCTGAAGTGTAGAAACCATGGACGTCACCAAATGCTGTGTGTCCTCCCCTGAGATGCTCTGCCAGACCTTAACTGCAGCCAGCTTCAGCTGCTGCTTGTTTGTTTGCTCTCTTGGGTTGAGATCAAGTGACTGACTATGCCATTGAAGAATATCCCCTTTCTTTGCCTTGTACGGTTTCTTTTAAAGCATGCTTTATTTACATTGTTCATTTGCTCTGTGAAGCGTTGCCTGGTCAGTTTTGCAACATGGAGATTTGGGTGAGTCTCCATGTTATAAGGAATATTGACGTGACACTTATGGTCCTCTGTAAGCATTACCACGATGGTCACAGAGTGGCACAGCTTGCTTTTAGAGAGATTTTAGTGTTTTAGCTTTTTAAAAATCTGTTAACTGCATAGACAATGGCTAGAGCCACTCATTGGTTCTTTTGACCATCTTTTGAAGCCAGACATGACAATTGAGGCCTGACTGTGACACAGAGGACACTACACACTCATTGGCTAACAACTTGTAGTTGACAAAATCATGAGCGAGTGAGCATACCCTAAGTAGTCCTCCAGACTCTAATAATGACCACAATCTACAAAATTAATTTCACCTTTTTAATTTAGCAAGACTAAAGACCGAGCCCATAATCTCACATAGAATAAAATTAAGCTTGCTAGTGAAATGGCGACAGTACAAAGACTGCAAGGACTTTTGATTTGCATCCACTGTGGTTTCCTCATGCAAAATGAGTGGATTCAACTTTAAAATACCCGGATATGTTATCCCTGGGCTTTTAATATGCCTCTCCTCTTTTTGTCCAGCCTGTTTCTGCCCTTGATCTGCTTAAATAAAAAGGTTTAAAATCCTCAGTTAAAAAGAAATTCTTAAAACCCTGCTGTTATTGTGGAAAGCAACAGAACGAAGACTGCTGACGTCTGGCAAGTCTGCATCAGACTGCTTATATTAGGGCTGTGATGTATGTTGTTACACATCATACAGTGTCTGGATTTGAAATGCAGCAACCTTATGTTTTGGACTGGTTTAGGTATTGCCTTAGCAACAAAACATGCAAACTAGTCAGCTGAGTGTGTTGTGTTTGCAGAACAATGCGCAGTACTTCCTATTTTGGAAGAAAAGGCATCAAAGCTTTGCAGATCGCAAACAGGCAGTTTGTCAGCCTGAATCTGTGCATGTAATGCAGTGAGGAGTGGGGAAGCAAACTAATCACAGTATGTTTTACAAGCCTTCCAGGCTTATGCACCAGGTTTATTATTTTCTTTTCTAGGCAAAAGCTTCAACGGTTAAGTCTGTCTCTGTTAACTGTTTTTGTATGCATTTAAACAAAAAGCAGGTGAAATTAAATACTTTATCGCTCTGTCACAATGAGGTAAAATGTGATTTTGGTATTTCCTCGTCATGCTGTAAGAGGGAAACAAATAAAAATCCCAGTGCCTCCCTACTCTTTCCAGTAATCCGGCTGTGCCTACGCACAATTAATAACAGCGTCAGGATAGTCCACATCAATTCACTGCAATGTTAATTTATCCTCCGTATACCCACGTCTTGGTTGCAGCAATTGCGATGACAGATTTTCCAACATGTCCCTGTAGTAATTGCACAGATTGGCTCAGAAACACACTGGTTTAAATTCTTCTTGGCAACCTCTGATTCAGAGGTTTGAAACTTGCTTGAGAGAAGTGCTTTAAAAAGAGAAAAGCATCACACTGTTTCACCTTAAAGATCTGATCACTAACATATGGTGAATGCATTTATGATGTGTTGTTCTGGCCTCCAGCACTGTAACTTTTTTGAAAATTAGACTCAAGATAGTCCTTTCAGCTCACCTAGCTCATGGGTGTCAAACATAAGAACCGGGGGCCAGGATCGGCCCGTTAAAGACCCCGATTTGGCCGGTTGGATGGTTATGGAAAATGTGAAGGAGGGCATAGCAAAGCAGTATTTCTTTACCATGTAGACAGAGTGAGGCAAAATGTTGAAATATCTTTTCTTTGTCTTATATTAAAGTATCTAATTGATTAAATATGCATTTAAACTTTTTATACTGTCAGAAATTGGAGTTTCAGCAGTCCATCCCACATAAGATCAAAGTAAGCTGTTTGTGGCCCTTGATATAAAATAAGTTTGACATCCCTGCTCTAACTCAAGCTCAAACCTGCACTCTTCCACTAAGTAGACTCACAAAGCTCCTACCAAGTGAACCGGCAAAATATTAACCATATCCTCTAATCAGGCAGCGATACCAAAGCAGTTAAAATGCATAATAAACATCTCAAAATTATGATTTAAATCTGTTTGACAGCAGATGGGGAGGATTTCCTGTTAAACTGATAAGCGCTATAAGCAAACCTTGTTCCTAATAAAAAAGCAAAGTTTAATAACACCTTGTGATGTGCACTTGGTTCAGTTTTAATTAAAATTCTAATGTTGGCTTCCAAAATTATAAAACAAGATACTGAGATAAAACAATTACTGCGCCACATTTATTGCTCTCCACTCAAAAAAGTCCAAATTAACCCTCAACAGTCTGTGGCTTCTTTCTTTTTTTTCCCGCTGAAATATAATTAATGTTTAAAGAAGTCGATGCAATTATACAGAATTGCTCGATAAGCCTAGAATTACTTTCGGAAAGTGCGTGTATAAACCTGTCAGATAATTTCAACAGGAGCCAAAATAATTGTGGTTTATAATTCTGCTGTAATCAAACAGCCTCTTTCACTAACGCAGACGGTCCAGTGAATCTGCCGAGTGCTCGTGAAAACTGGTTGTTCAGGAAACTCCCTTTTCCGTCCAGTTGTCTGTCAGGCGACCCTGCACAGACGTGCTTCCCCTCACTGCATTATGATGTTATGACATGTGTGCTTGATGTGTAAGTGAGCGGTGAAGTGCTGCAGCAGGCACCCTTAGTCTTTTTATAAAATCAGCTTTGCCAAGCAGTCCTGCTCGGTGTCCCTTACAGCCCAGACCTCTAAGATGCTGTTGGTGACAGTTGGGTGTGTGAGTCAGAGGTGTGTAGCAGACAGGGCGTGATACCAGCAAAACACATTTACAGTAATATATTTCTGTATAAGCTGCTCACACCTTTTAAACGTTTAAACATTCGTTGAATGCACAATGCGAAGACAATTCAATCAGTGATTAAAGTAAACTGTGACTGCGTGCTTTTAACAAAAGGAAAACATACAAACTGTAAAGTGTTATAGCTGAGTACTCTGATGCCTATGTGGGATTGAAATTACTCAACATGTACTTTAATAGCTGATTATTTAAGTAGTTTTCTAAACAACAGCTCCAGATTGTCATATTTTTACTTTTTTATTTATCATTTTGGACAAAGTGTTTTTCACTAT